GGCCTGGCTGATTAATTTTTAAGTGTCACTCAGTCAATGGTAAAAAGTTTAAAAGCCTCTAGTCTACAGTTCATGATCTGAACTCACCCACTACTCCAGCCTTATCGCTACAGCCCAGCCACATGAAGCATCCTTTACTTCGGTCCTTTACTGTGGCTTGTTCTTTCACACCTCTGTGCCTTTGGTCATGTTCATTCTCTGCTAAGCTCCCTGTCCCCCACAACTTTTTTTGTGTGGGTAAGTCCTAACCTTCCTTGAAGACTCCGTTCAGAATTTACCTCCCCTAGGAAGTCTTTTCTGCTTCCTCCAGATGGAAGGTGATGCCAACATTTGCATATACTTCTATTGTATTGTATAATAGCATTTACAACACTATATGGCAATGGTCTGTTTCCCTACTAAGCTGTGATATCTCAAGGATAGAATCGGTGTCTTTCACCTCTGTTATCTCTAATAAAGTGCAATATTGGCTGAGTAAACAAATGGATAGATTTAAAGCCCATTTATGTTGATGATATTGCATCAATCCTATCTTTTCTCTCTTTCACATATCCTGTGACCCCGCTGGAGTGAATCACTGTTTCTAGGACATATCCCAAGAGTTCCTACTTCTGTTTTTTCTGGCTTTGCTGAATAGCATGCCCTTTTCTCAAATCTTTCTTTATAGAGTTATCAGAGGGGTTAAGAGCATGGATTTCAGAGTTAAATTAACTTAACCCAAATGTTGACTCTACTTCAACATCTATGTGACTTTGGATAAGTTACTTTACCTATCTATGCCTCACTTTCCTCATCTATACATATAATCAAAATAACAGCACCAAGCTCATGTGACACTGTGAGGAGGATTACATGTTATAATTATGTTGAAGTGGTTAATTTACTCTCCAGTTCAAAATAAACAATCGGTACATGGAAGCTGGTGTTCACCATCGTTGGAACCCTGGTTTCAATGGCATCTCTTCTGTGAAATCTGCTATTTCCCTGATATGGCTGAGACTGCTAGTTACCTACCCAAGACCTACTCTCTCCTTCTTCCTTCTGATTTGGTTGGGAATAAAAATGTTAAAAAACAATGCTCAGCCTTCCTTGGAAACAGGGGTGGCTCTGTGACACTATTCTGGCCTATAAAATGTAAGTAAAAGTTATAGGTGGAGCTTCTAGGAAAGCTCTTTAAAAAGGGTCAATCCAGCTGGCATGCCTCTTTTAAACTCTGCCCTTCTCCTTCCTGTTTGGAATGTGGATGCAATAGCTAGTGCTCCAGGAATCACCTTGTGTACACGAGGAAGAGGGAGTGAAAAGGTAGAAGCCCAGGTTTCTGATGACACTGTGGAATTGCTGAACAAGTCCCGGAGTGCCTACCTCTAGGCTTCTTTTTATGGGGGAAATATAAGTAAATAAACCTCTAAGTAATTTAAGGCACTATTATATGGGTTTTCTTTCACATGTCTTGATTTTTGAACTCTCTTTCAGTGTATCTTGATTCCTACCTGATATACCTCAGCTGAAAGTAACGTCTTCTTTCTTAACACTCCATCTGTATGTCTCTCATAAGTATAGTCGCCTTCTTTTTTACTTATGCAAATGCTTATACTACACATCTCATCATGGTAGAACCAAGTCAGATTCATCTTTGTTCACACATAGATTTCAAGCATAACACAGTGCCTTCATACAGTAAAACACAAAAGCATTTTGTAAATTGCAAAAAATAAATAAAAAATAAAAATCACATAATCTTATTATCTGATGATTATATTAAACATAGAGGTAGACAACATTTTAAACTTTGATTAAGATAAAATGTATTTTTATTAATCACCCAGTATTTTATAGTTATGACATGATATTTTTAGATTTGATTAAAAACATATGAAGTTATTTATTAAGAATATATTGTCACTAACTTGAATTGCTGGTATTCAACCAGCCAGCTGTAGAATGTACCTGTATAAGTCTGCAAACAAGGTTATTCAAAATACCTCTTTTAGATAAAAGATGTTGAAAATATGTATTACCATTCTAACAGCTCCGCCTTTCCCACGATTCTTCACCAGCGTTATCACTCGTATTTTGTCACTTCCATATCTCTGGCAATATTTAAAAGCTACCTGCCAAATTATATAAAAGTCAGAATAAGATTAAGTTGGACTCTAAGAGAGTTATATAAACTGGGTTTCTCATTTTGGCTCAAACACTGCTATTGAAGTTCACCCCTTCTTGTGACAAGATTATACCCACTGTACATTTTGGTGGCCCAGAAGAGTCGTAGAATTCCTGGCGCCAGGATACGACACTGACCTGCTACGCTGAAGGTACAACTCAATTTCCTACAGGGAATCACCAGAATAGGTAGTGATCTTCTCTTGATTCCTTTACCTAAGCCACTGAGCTGCTAGAACAAACAAAAGTTGTGTGCTGACTGACTGGTACAAACTTGTGCTGGGCCCTCAATACTGGTTAGCGACGTGTTTACCTGTTCAGGTCAGCAGTTACTCCCCAGAGAGGTTGTTTGTATCCTGGACCATTTCCCCTCAATTTTTTTTCACTCAAGGTCCTCTCTCTCAGCAGGTATGTACACTGTGACTTGTCCTTCTCTTCTGAATCTTCAATCTCTTCCTCCCTCCACTGGGTCCACAGCCTCAAACTTGCTAAAGCCACAAGCATCCTATAATCTTCCCTTTGACTTCACAATTATCTTTTGCGACTGCCACCACTTTCTGATGTTTAATCA